ATCTTGGAGTCAATAATGACTCCAAGATCCCTTTCTGCCTCCATGCTCTCAAGAAAGGAGTTTCCCATTCTGTAAGTGTGCTGCTGGTTTCTACTGCCTAATATTGAAACGCAACCTGTTTATGTTAGCCCACTCCTGTAACCTATCCAGATCTTGCTGCAATCTTTCCCTCCCTACTAGTGTGCTCACCTCACCCCAAATTTTGGTATCATCAGTGAATTTAAACAGGTTGCTTTTCACCCCGTCGTCCAAATTGCTGATGAACAGTGCAGGCCCAAGGACCGAGGCCTGGGGGACTCCGCTGCCCGCTTCCCCCCAGGTTGAATATGACCTGTCCACCACCACCCTCTGAGTACGACCCTTGAGCCAATCTGCAATCCATCTGACTGTGTAGGCATCAATGCCACAGTCGCCTAGTTTTTTAATGAGGATGGGGTGGGAGACGGTGTCAAAGGCCTTGCTGAAGTCTAGAAAAACTACGTCCACGGCGACACCTGCATCCATTGCCTTTGTCACCTGATCATAAAAGGCAGTCAGGTTGGTCTGACATGACCTGCCCCTAACGAAACTGTGCTGGTTGCCCTTGAGTGTCATCCCTGAAGCCGGCCCATCACAGATGTGCTCCTTGAGGATCTTCTCAAAGAGTTTCCCTAGGATTGAGGTAAGACTGATGGGCCTATAGTTGCCTGGGTCCTCTCTCTTCCCTTTTTTGAAGATGGGGACCACGTTAGCTATCTTCCAAGGTGCATGAACTTGGCAAACCAAACAAACAAAGATGAACATCTTGACAGAGAGATATGAGTGGGCATGAGATAGGGTGATACACAAGAATAAATATAGGATTTGGGAGACCTGTCCCTCATAAAGACCTAGGGGAATGTGAATAACGTACTGTGTCTGTACCAGTGAAGAACAAGGTTCTTCAAGTTGGGCTAACTGTTAATTAGGGTCATGTGCCATGGCCTATTGTAGGCACATCCCTGCGACCATGCATCGCTGCCTACCCTCATGGAGAATGGGCCCGGCCCAACATGACCCAGCCTGGCCCGGCCACCTAGCACGCACCTTTGGACAGGAGCTGTGAGTTCCAGTCCTGTCCAAAGTCATGCTAGTGGGCTGTCGGGCCAGGTCAAGTCATAGATTTCATAGACATTAGGGCTGGAAGGGACCTCAGAAAATCATTGAGTCCAGCCTCCTGCCCCTGGGGCAGGAAGTCAGCTGGGGTCATAGGATCCCAGCGAGATAGGCATCCAATTTTCTCTTAACGATGTTCAAAGTAGGTGCTTGAACCACTTTCCTTATGCCCAGCCTGAAGCGGTTATGGAGGAGTTTGTGACCGTTTGATCTTGTCATCCCTTGGGGCACTCTGGTGAACAGACGTTCCCCCAGATCCTGGTGAACACCTCTTATAAACTTACAGGCAGCCACCAGATCACCCCTGAGCCTGCACGTTTCCAGGCTGAAGAGTCCCATAGCTCTCAGCCTCTCATAAGGTCTGTTTTCCTGGTCATGTGCATGGCTCTTTGCTGGACTCTCTCAAGCTTCTCCACAACCTTTTTGAATTGCGGAACCCAAAACTGGACGCAGTACTCCAGCTGTGGCCTCACCAAGGCCAAGTACAAAGGGAGAATGACGTCCTAGGATTTGCTTGAGAAGCATCTATGGATGCAAGCCAGCGTTTTGCTCGCTTTATTAGATGCAGCATCACATTGATGGCTCTTGTTCATCTTGTGGTCAATCATGACCTCCAAGTCCCTTTCTTCCACAGTGCCAGCCAGTGTAGCACTGCTAAGCCTATACGCATGCTGCAGGTTTTTCTTCCCAACGTGGAGAACCTTGCATTTTTCGCTGTTAAACACCATCAGGTTCTCGTCTGCCCATTTCCTGAGCCTGTCAAGGTCAGTCTGGATAACCCTCCTGTTCTTAGGTGTGGACGCTTTACCCCAAAGTTTAGTGTCATCGGCAAACTT